GAGGAGATCCTCGAGGATGACGAGATGGATGCAGAAGGCGAAGAGGAAGACAATGTCCCTGTCCAGAGATCCACCAAAGAAAAGCGGCCGTCACCAGAACAACCTGTTTCGGAAGCAGGAGCATCTGGAACGCCACCGGTGAGGAAGAAGAATCGCTACATCGTTGATGATGACGATGAGGATGAATAATCTTCTACCCCTTGGCCATTTGCACGCCCCCGAATGATCCTTGGCGTCATGACCACGCTCTCCTAATTAATGACCCTGCATCCTGTAACAACTTCTCGCAGTCAATGAAATTGTATCTAGAACGAGAAAATTAGAGGCCATGATGAAGATCAATCGTCCATTGTCGCCCTAGTATACAAAGATCTCCACCGCTGTACGTAGGTTCTTACCCAACTAAAAAGCTCAATTGAAATCATGTATTGCTCCATTGCAAATAGCAGGAGCGCGAGTCAGGCATTGGCAAGAATAGTATTGATCGAGTTGGCCCACAAGGCAGCAAATAGAAGCGGTATCTGGCACAGTATGTCATCGCGCCCAGGACAAATCTCCCGCAGGCCGTAACTCCCCAGCATAATTATTGCCTAACCCCATGACACCAATCACGTAGGTAAACAAATAGATCGCTCATACCGAAACCGCACCCTCCGGGTACTCGTGCGGTGCAAATTCAAACTTGGCTATAACATCTCTGGCGCTTCGGATTACACGAAAACAAAGCATATCCTCTTCACGATGGTCCTCATGGGGGACAGGTGAACAAGACCTGGGTTCGTTTGGGGATTCCACGGTTCGAGATCGATGCCATCTGTGCTGGCGGGCTTCCATTTCCTCAATGAGAGAAAGTAATGTTGGCGAATCCGAGCACTTCACCTGACCAGCAGGATCTACCGGGCCGCCTGTAATAGCGCTGCTCACAGTTTGTCGAAGCCAATCCTTCCAAGCCTCTGCAGGGTTCGGGGAGTTCTGCGTCACTGAAGCCACATAAGCTGGCGGCGCTGCTGACTTGCCGAGTTCTTCAGCGTCAGCTTGCGACACTCGCAGCCAGGCATCCGCAATGACGTTCAAGAGGGTTCCAGTAAACATGACATTCTGCATCCCCAAAGCAAAGCTTGTGGGACAGACGTCACAACGGATAACAGCCCGTGCTGTTTTGGCAGCAATAAATAACGAACACAACGTGTGTTGAGATATTGGAAAGGGAGCAAGGGAAGAAAGATGACTGAGACATAGATACAAGTATGATAAGCAGGTACACTGAGAACTGTTACCGCCGTCCGAGCTTGGGGATGATACGCTAGGAGAATCGATCAGCGTCAAGCTCGACGGTAATGTGAACGGACCAGAAGTTGCGGCCGTTACGCTGGAAAAATCAGGCCAAGGACCGGTAGTTGCAGGGATAGGGTCGAGCGATCTACCGGATTCCAACTGCCATAAGTGATTGTGACTATCGTCAGTAGATAATAGATTAGGAAAGGCCTGTGGCATTCGCATTGGTGCGGTGTACACTGGAGGACAAAGTCGCAGGGCATCTGATGCTGCTGTAGCCTCGGCTCCGGCTTCCTCAGTCAAGATACCACCATCATCTATATCAGTCCACATCCCATTGTCTGAGATTTCATATACGGATGCATCATTGTCCTCACGGGGTCGCTTTTTCGGTGGGCGTCCCATCGGCTTCTGTAATGAATAGTGGCAAGAAAGGGACTGCTTAAGGCAGCGACTACATCCCGTAGCTTCACCAGAGCATTTCAACTTCCGTTTCCCTATTGAAGCTCGTCAGGCTCGGTGTTCACTTGTGAACGACCCTGCATCGAGGAGTACCTACTGCACTCGTCACAAGCCGCATGTCTTTTCAAAGGCGGTACCAAGGCGGTGTCATGACTACTGTTTGGAGGGAGAGGAAAACTATCGTACTGCATGCTGAATGACGTGGATGGAAATTTTACAACACAGTATTTGAGAAGCTCAAAATCGGTCGACGACAATGACCATAGTGCTGGAGACGTACAGAAGATAAACAAAAATAATGATGATGACGGTGGGGATTGATATTATCCATGGAAGATCAGCGAATGCGATAAGATGAGGCTACCAAGGCGGCGTATCACGTGGGCGGTCAGCAATCTCATTTTCGGGGAAAAGCAGAAAAACAGAGAGAGAAAAAAAGTTGCTAGAAAATTGCAGCTTATCGTTCAAAGCTTTCTAGTTGGAAGAACGCCGCCGCTTTTCACCAATATGAATGCTTCAAAAGCTTCTAAGAAGCGCAAGGCAGTTACCCGTGATGTGGAGGAGGAGGCAGGCGTGTTTTCTGGAGACGAATTGAACACAGACAACCTTGACGGAGCCCTTTCGGATAACGCCAACGACCTGTCGAGTGACGAGGATGAGAGCGATTCAGAGGTCGAGTTGATCGATGATTTTAGTGATGAAGAAGATGGGGAGGAAGAAGACGAACTCGACAGTGACGAGATTCCGTCGGATGGAGAGGATTTAGCCAAGAAAAAGTCAAACACCACGTCTGGTGAACTTGGCGCAGCGGTGGAAGATGGTGAGAGCTCGAGCGAGGAAGAACAGTTGAACTATCGCATTGAGAAGGACGCCAATGGGAATGAACGCTTCGTCTACGACGAGATCAATCCGGACGATAATTCTGAATATTCTGATATCGACGAGAATGCAAACACCATCGGCAACATTCCTCTTTCATTTTACGATCAGTATCCTCATATCGGTTACGACATCAACGGGAAGAAGATTCTGCGCCCCGCGAAAGGTGAAGCTTTAGATGCACTGCTCGATAGCATTGAAATACCCAAGGGTTGGACGGGTCTTACTGATCCTTCCACTGGTAAACCTCTGGAGCTGAGCCAGGATGAGCTGGAGCTGCTGCGCAAAGTCCAAATGAACGAAATTCCCGAAGATGGTTACAACCCATATGAGCCCACAGTTGAGTGGTTCACCAGTCAGGAGGAAATCATGCCATTGAGCGCTGCGCCAGAACCCAAACGGCGGTTTGTGCCCTCGAAACACGAAGCTAAGCGGGTTATGAAGATTGTGAAGGCAATCAGAGAAGGCCGGATTCTCCCATTCAAGCCTCCCACGGAAGAGGACCAGGAGGATGATACGGTCATTAAGTATGATCTCTGGGCGGATGAAGCGGAGCGGAAGGATCATCCTATGCATATCCCTGCGCCTAAACTTCCACCTCCAGGCTATGAGGAGAGTTACCACCCGCCTCCAGAGTATTTGCCTAGTCAGAAGGAACGCAAGGCTTGGGAGGAAGCTGACCCTGAAGACCGGGACCGCGAGTTTCTCCCTAACGATTTCGGTTCTTTGCGCAGAGTTCCTGGCTATGAAAACTTTGTCAAGGAGAAGTTCGAGCGGTGCCTGGATCTTTACCTGGCCCCCAGAGTTCGTAGGAGCAAGTTGAACATCGACCCTGAAAGCCTTTTGCCCAAGCTTCCGAGCCCTGAAGAGTTGAAACCATTCCCCACTGCTTGTGCTACCGTGTTCAGAGGGCATAATGGTCGGGTACGTACGCTGGCTGTTGATCCTTCCGGTCTCTGGCTGGCTACTGGTGGCGATGACGGAACTGTCCGTGTTTGGGAACTTCTTACGGGCCGCCAGTTGTGGAGCGTGAAATTGAGCGAGGAAGACCCTGTTAATGTTGTTCGTTGGAGACCGGGCAAGGATGCTCTTATCCTCGCTGCGGCGGCTGGCGACGACATTTTCCTTGCTGTTCCTCCAATTGTCGACCCAGCAATTGAAAAAGCTAGCCTGGAGATTCTGGATGCGGGCTGGGGATATGCTGCATCTGTCCCTCCTCCCACTGGTGCTGAAGCAAACAAGAAGAACAACCCTCCCAAGTGGATACGTCCTTCGTCGTCACTTGCTGATTTGGGAGTCTGCGCTGTCATCCCTCTTCGCTACGTTGCCAAGTCCCTTTCGTGGCATCGACGTGGTGACTACTTTGTCACGGTCTGCCCCGGCTCATCAACTCCAGCCTCCGTGGCCATTGCGATCCACACTCTTTCCAAGCATCTGACTCAGTACCCCTTCCGCAGGCGTATCAAGGGTGGTGGTCCTCCTCAGGCTGCTCACTTCCACCCCTCGAAACCGATCCTCTTTGTCGCAAACCAGCGAAGCATTCGCGCATACGATCTTTCACGTCAACTTCTCGTCAAGATTTTACAACCTGGTGCTCGCTGGATTTCTTCCTTCGACATCCACCCGACTTCCTCCACCGCTTCTGGTGGAGACAATCTTATTGTCGGCTCGTATGATCGCCGTCTCCTTTGGCATGATCTCGAACTGTCGCAGCGTCCGTACAAGACGCTGCGGTACCACCGCAAGGCCATTCGTGCTGTCAAGTTCCACCCAGGCGGCCGCTACCCCTTGTTTGCAGATGCCAGTGACGACGGCTCGCTTCAAATCTTCCACGGCAGTGTTACCGGAGATATGCTCAGCAATGCCACCATTGTACCGCTCAAGGTTCTCAAGGGACACAAAGTCACTGGCGAGCTCGGTGTGTTGGACGTCGACTGGCATCCTAGAGAACCGTGGTGTGTCAGTGCAGGCGCGGATGGAACTTGCCGCCTCTGGATGTAATTACATGTCGATTTCGAAGCGTACATTATTGGGTTTTCCAACTGTTAATTTATCATGTCATGTCCACATGAGAGGCGTCTTGGTGTGCATCAAAATTTTTTGTTCCATAGATATATCCGCTTTATAAAAGTTATTGTCCTTATAAAAATGCTTTCCTCAAAATTAGGTCCTCATCTGATGATCCAAGCAACCTCCGCATCCCGATTCCGATTTTTGGAGATTTTACGTGGAAAATAAACCATTGGTAGACTCATCGATCGTAAATTTCCGAGCAGCGAGGAGATTGTCAGCATCTGCACATGCAAAGCTTTTGGTATATGGCCATTTATCCCGTACGTACACAATGCTTTGGTTGACTTTTGTACGCCACTCTATTCGGATATCTACAACACGCCCCCGCTCCACTCCCTCCTGAGCTTCTCATACTTTTTCAGATCGGTAACACTGGGCCGGATGAAAGCCTTAGCGGCAACGAAATCCTCAAAGCTGATCTGATCACGTCTTTTGATCGCGGAGTAACCGGCACGGCGCAGCAAACTTCCCAGATCCGCACCGCTGAATCCTTCGCATTCTTCGGCGAGCCTCCTCATATCTTCGGTGAACTCGATAGGAAGCTTGCGAACAAGGGTCTGCAAAATCTCCACACGCTCCAAGGGATTAGGCAGGCTGACGTAGAGGAGCGTTTCAAGACGACCTGGACGAAGCATCGCAGGGTCGATGATATCGGGCCTGTTTGTGGCGGCAATCACGTAGATCCCTTGACGACTGCTGCCGAGGCCGTCAAGCTCGGTGAGCAGGGTATTGACGACACGCGCGGAAGCTTCGGACAGAGCATCATCTCTGCGGGGGACCAGGGCATCAAGTTCGTCGAAGAAGATAATGCAAGGGACTGACGAGCGGGCGCGAACAAAGACCTGCCGTACTGCACGCTCTGACTCACCCACGAACTTGTTGAGCAGCTCAGGTCCCTTTACACTGATGAAGTTGGCGCGCGACTCGTTGGCCACAGCCTTGGCCAGCAACGTCTTACCACAGCCGGGGGGACCCCAAAGCAGAACACCTGTGGGCGCCGTAATACCCACGTTCTCATAGAGCTCGGGAGACTTGATTGCGTCCACGATCGCAGTATTGAGTTCTTCGCGAATCCCTCCCAAAGCACCAATGTCTGCCCATGTAGTGTCTGGTATAGTGGCGAAGCCCTCACGCTTGGAGGACGGCTGAATTTTGGGGAGAGCGGTAAAAAAGTCTGCATTGGAGACAAAGACCGTCTGCGTCTCGTCACCAATGGGGGTCTCCTTCGCGTGATTGATAAGCCGTCGCAGCTCTTTGACCTTAGGGCTCAGATCGTTGGGATCTTCTATGTCCATCTCTTCCCCACCATGCGATTTGAGCAGTTCCAAGTATCGTTTGATAGCCGCAGAGCCTGCCGTGGAGACCAAGTCGTTTAGATCAGCGCCGACAAAGCCCGGTGTCCGTTTGGCCAGAGTCTTGAAGTCTAGGTCGTCAGCGAGGCGCATTTTTCGAGTAAGCGCCCTCAGAATCTGCTCTCTGACTGGTTCCGAGGGGACGGTCATGTTGATTTCCTTATCAAACCTACCCCCGCGACGCAGGGCCGCGTCCAAACTATCCGGTCGATTGGTAGCTGCTAAAACAATCACAGGCTTGCCGTCGGTTTTGTCCAGTGCTAAATCGTCCATGCATGTTAAGAGTTGAGCAACAATCCGTTTCTCCATCTCTCTTTGTGCACTTTCTCGCTTCGGGGTGATGGCGTCAATTTCGTCGATGAAAATGAGACAAGGCGCAAGCCTTCGGGCTTCTTCGAAATGCTCTCGTAGAGCCTTTTCGGACTCTCCCGACATTCCCGACACGATAGATGGAGCAGATATTGGGATGAATGGGACGCCTAGTTCTGCCGCGAACGCATTGGCGATCATTGTTTTACCGCAACCTGGCGGACCATGCAATAGCACACCACGGGGTGGCTGAACATTTGAAGACACGTAAACTTGTGGACGGGTCATCGGTAGGATGAGGAGATCTCCCAGGCTCTGAATCACGTCGTCCAATCCACCCAGGTCCGCAAGGCTCACATGAGTCGGAGGCGAGCGATCAACGGCCACGTCGGCCTTACGTCGTTTGGACGATTGAGATTCACCTCCATGTTGTCGTCGCTTGGTCGGGATTGGTGCAGGCGTAGGTGCGCTTTCAGAAGCACTGGGATCGGCTGACTTTTGCGGTTTCGAATTGGTATTCCATGCGCCTACAATGCTCCTATTGAGGCTGTTGGATTCCTGTGATCGTCAGAAATGGAAGCATGGAGAGATGTCATGTCGCGTACTGGAACAGGTTGTGCTTGCTCTTCCAGACCCTCGAAGTCGCCATTCACAGAATCTTCTTCATCTTCGCCGAGCACGTCGGTTTTAACCACTTCCACGACCCTTTCAATACTGTCCTCTAATATCCTCTTCGGCTTCCTGTTTAGACTGGAATTTGATCGCTTGATGGTATCGTAGATCGCGGGCACCGAGAGACGTATCCGGTCGCTCTCTCCCTGATCATCGATGATCTTACGCACGATCTGATAAACCTACAATAAAAAAGTCAGTATCGTTATAAATGTAGGCAAACGCGGCGAGCATGATTTTCGGTCACTCCTCACCTCGCGATCCAAGCCTTGCCTCAGAGTCGACCTAACCCCACGGGATTGACGCATCTTCTTCAAACGCAGGGCCTGTCTGCGCAAGAACAGCCCCGTCCAAAGCGTGACATTAATAGTGATGCCAATCTATCAGAAAATCCCCCGATTCTCTATATTTTTTGGGCCATCGGGGAAATAGATTTACCGTGGTCGGCTTTCTCCAAGATTAAAAATACCACGATTCCAGAGTCCGCTTGTCTGATTGGTCACCATTCCTCGAGATAAAATTCTATACTCCGTAAGGTACGCACATGGTATTTTTCCTTACGCCGCACCAAGAGTTTTGAAGAGTGTACGTCATTTTCCAGTGTGTTTTGACTTTCTGGGGTAAGATATCCGTAGTTATCGCCGACTTCTCTACACTCAAGATTGACACTGCCAGTATGCTGCGACAATGGGAAACACAAGCAGTTCTCATAAGATCTCTGCTCAGGATAGGTAGGTTTGCCTTTCTCTCATGTTTCAGCTACTCCTCATCTGCTATTGTGCAATCTGAGCATCCTATCACGGACCGCATGTGACGCCAGCAGCGATCCTATCCCACCGGCTTCTTGCCATGCCCGGAACCGCCTGCAGAATGACTACTGACGAGAAAAATTGTTGGTATTAAGGGCCATTCTCGATCTGAAGAATCAGCGCGATAAGCTTCGTCAGTATCAGAAACGAATCACTGTTCTCACAGACCGCGAGACCGCCATAGCAAAGGAATGTCTTGCGCGAGATGACCGCCGACGTGCACTGCTGGCTCTTCGTCGCAAGAAATATCAAGAAACACTCCTAAGTAAAACAGATGCGCAGCTGGAGCAGCTGGAGCAGCTGACGAGTCAGGTGGAATTTTCCTTAGTCCAGAAAGATGTTGTCTTTGGCTTGCAACAGGGAACAAAGGTGCTCCAAGCTATCAACAAGGAAATGGGGGGTATCGAAGCTGTAGAGAAGCTGATGGGCGAAACTGAAGAAGCCAGGGCCTACCAAGAGGTAAAGAGACGTGGAGCTAAACCCTGTGAATGGGGCAATCGTTGTGCTAACCACATGCCATTACAGGAAATTAGCCAGATGCTTGCGGGCCAATTGTCCAACCAGGATGAGGACGAAGTTGAGGACGAGTTGGAGAAATTACGGCAAGAGACAGAGGCTATCACCTTACCAAAGGTCCCTACCGCTCCTCCAGTTGTGGCCGAGGGCGAAGAAGAAGGCGACAGAGAGGAAGTGGAGGTTTCAGCCGCCAGGATGAAGACGCGTACTGCAGTTCCTGCTTCCTGATGTATGCATTGCATACGCTTCTGCCGATCTCATTATATATATACAGCAGAGACTCAAGCATTTTCGGGCGCTGGTGGTTTTGTCCCTCTTTCGGTGCTCTTCTCTGTACACAGCCATGACAGCTTAAAACTTGCATCGGTAGTATTCGCGGTCGAAGATACAGCAGACTGGAGTTTCGTGTCATTAGTTTCATTTGAAGTCATGTACATAATCGTATTGAGTCATGCCAAAAAGCAACGTGACAGGCATGGAAACAGTCGTATATTAGCTATCTGTCGGCCAGGACGCCGTCTTTCCCAGCCACGGAGCTGAACAAATCATTGACCAGGCATTACTCTCCCTCCTACACCGCTGACACCCGGAATGGCTACATGATCGCTAGGGTTTGCAGCAGCTTCGTAGAGGAAACTGACCGGTTCACGGTTCAGAGCCATATACTGGCCTTTAAAACCGATATATCCAACTTTGGTCACATCATCTTCTCCCCCGCTCCAGTTGTCCTCGAAGAACAAGGTGATCGAAGTAGTCGCATTCCAATGAGCGCGATTGAGGGGCAGCTCAAAAACGTCAGACCCGGGAACTGGCTGTGGGATCTCGATTGTTTGTGTGGGTGTCAAATCAGAGGCAGTTGCGAAATCTAGATCATTCCGGTTCTTGAAGAGCTTCAGGGTTTTGGGTGCAGACGGTGTGGGTGCAGTGTAGATTAGCAAGGAGTGCAATTTCACTTGCCCAGTGAACCTGCAGTACCATGGATATTCAGCATTACTTCATCCCCACAGCTTTTCTGGCAGGGCTGGCTTCTGTGGAACTGGTGCGTTTTGCGACAATCGAGCGTTGATGAGGGGCAATCAGCGGGGTAAAGCAAAAACGCGAGAATGATCGGAGAGACGGCCAGCAGAGATTCAAGTTGAAGGAACAGAGGTCGAGACTTACGGGATATACATTAAGAGCTGCTCATCCGCATCGCTTTCGAGTTCAGGCTCATCATTTAATCGGTCAGCCCATGTCTTCTGCACAATAGCAGTTCCTGATTTAGGCGTTGCTTCTGCGCTTTGCATCAACAACCATGTCCGCGAACGACCATATAAAAAGCTACCGTATGCATACCGTTCAGTGTGGTAATAGCATCGAAGGCGATCTGCGAGTAAAGAAGGGACTGAATGGCAGGGGTGATATCGTTCGAATGATCATGTCCATCCTCTCCATGGCAATGTCCGCCATGGTCATGATGGTGGTGGTGATGTCCTGGCATTTTGTATCAAGGCGAGAGGGGTATCAGAATGTTTTCTCTTGTTAGTTTGTATTTGAGACGACCAACGATTGTAAACAAAATTTGAGAGTATTGCGTTGACCTTGAGAGGACGGCGGACCTTCTATGATTCCGGGGCGTAATGTTTGTCTCAACTTTGGAACATTCGGAGATCCCTACGAAATGGGGATCACTGAGATGATCTACCATGTTCTCGCTCCATCCTGCTATCTATCGAGATTATTCATCTCCTGGGTATTGTCGTAAGATATTCAACATTTTCTCTTGCCACACTGCACGAATCGAGTATCGCCGTGTCAACAATATGCTCCATTATACACACGGTCTATCACGAAGCCTGTGTTTAGACCGATTACTGATTGAGACTATATGGCAATGAAGCTCTGCACACTGCCTGCTAGGTTGCACTCTCGGGTTATCAGCACCCAGGCTCGACGATCCACAGAGAGGACCGAGTCACTGGACTTTGTAAAAATCCGGCGCATACTCGAGCAGGTAGCTCTTCTCGATCTTGGTGATGTCACGAATGTATGTTTTCTCACCGGTTTGCAATATCTCATGGAAGATGACCCAATCTGCTTTGCGGTTCTAAATATAAATCAGTCAGTAAATGGGAGAAGTATGGTGACAGAGGCTGACAATGGCAAGCACGTACAAACATTAAGGAAGTTGGATGCGCATGTAGAGTAAGCCCTCCGCTGACCGTCTTGAAAGTCCCATCTGGCTGCATTTTTGCAGCATGTGCGAAGTAGCCAGTTGTCAGACATCTTTGAATTTGTTCGGCCGGTCTGGCTAGATCAGCCGTTCCGTGGCGACCAGAGAGAGTCTCATCCACTTGAAACCCAAGGCGCTCAAGGTAGCGTTTTAATTGAGCTCTAATGCTAACAGCCCGTTGCATCGACCGATAGTTTAAGAGATTATCCCGACACCATTTGGGGTCTTTCTTTCCTTTCGTGACAAACGCCTGGTACACATTGAGGTAGGTCAAGTGATCCCCTTCTTCAACGGCAAACTTTCTGCGGCTGCTCTCCGCCGACTTCTTATCGCCTTCATGCTGCACCCACACAGAACCTTGGAGACTGATCATAGCAGCGATGGAAAGAATCTCACTCAAACAGTTGAAGGATCGCGCGCTGAGAAGGACTTTTGCCAACATGGGATCTAAGGCGAGTTCGGCCATTCGCATCCCCAATGGATTGGTAAGTTTCGCATAGTCATCGACTGCTCCAAGCGAGTATAGAAGCTCAAAGGCACGTATCACCAAGTCCGCAGGAGGAGGTGTCAAGAAATCGAATCGTACTATATTGTCAATACCCAGGGCCTTGAGCTGCATGATCACAGGGGCCAGGTTCGAGCGTTGGATTTCAGGAACGGTAGCGTCGGGTAATCTTTCATAGGCCTGCTGAGTATAGAGACGGAAGCACTTGCCTGGCTTCGTTCTACCAGCGCGACCTGCTCGCTGAACAGCGGCTGCTTTTGATATCGGGACAGCCGTCAATGTCTCTATGCCTGTGCTTGGATTATAGGCTCTGAGCTTGGCAAATCCGCAATCGACGACGTATACTATACCGTTGATAGTGACTGAAGCTTCTGCGATGTTGGTCGACACGATGACCTTGCGTGTGTTTTCAGGGGCTGGCTCGAAGACGTACATCTGCTGATCCGTTGTGAGACCAGAATAAAGAGGAAGCGGTAGAAGAGCTGGTGCTTTAGGATGCAGGGTAGCAGCGCGTTCCGTTATCAATTGGATCGTGGTCTCGATCTCCTCTCGGCCAGTCAGGAAAACCAAAATATCACCGTCTCCTTCTTGCAAATGTATGTCAAATACAGTTTTGACGGTTCTTTCCACATAATCTTCTGCTGGGTTTTCGAGGTACAGAATGTCGACAGGATACATTCGTCCCTCAAGACTAATAATTCTTCCGATGCTTCCTCCCATTTCGCCGGCTTCTCCTTCGCCCTGAAATTCATCACCGGCGAAGAATTTCAGAAAGTCTTCAGCTTGCAAAGTCGCACTACTGACCACGATCCGGAGCTCGGGGCGTCTCTTCATGATCTTTTTGAGTATTCCAAGAAGAATATCGGTACTCAATGATCGCTCATGTGCCTCATCGACCATAATTACCGAATACCGAGAAAGCAGAGGATCTACGAGGACCTCTCGTAGCAACATTCCATCAGTTAGGAACTTGATTCTTGTTGAAGCTGAAGTCACGTCTTCAAAACGGATCGAATATCCCACTTCTTCGCCTAATTTGCAGCGCATCTCCTCGGCCACTCGAGCTGCGACAGTGGTGGCAGCCACCCGACGCGGCTGTTGCCAGCTTAGCAATCACATACTGACGTACTGGGCCATGGTGGAGGGCATTGAACAATACCTGAGTGACAGCTATGGCTTTTCCATCTGCACACCATCCCGCTTGATCTAGATACTGTGGCAGCTGTGTTGTTTTTCCACTGCCAGTTTGTCCAACGACAATCGTGACAGGGTATGTTTCGACTAGATAAAGCAAGCTTTGGCGATGTCTTGCAATTGGTAGTAATGCAGCCGGCTTGTATAAGGCTGGAATGAACGTGGAGGAGATTTCCAATTCTGAAGCCATTGTTAATGTTGGTATCAACCACTTTCAGTGATGTAAATTCAACTGGTCAGAGCCTTGAGGTTTAAGACGGAACACGATTGAGACATATTGAATGGGTGACATAGACCCCGTTTATGCAGAGTGCTCAGGCCATGCACATCCAAGCTCAGAAGGAAGTAAGCTGCAGATTTATTGTAAGTTATAGTAAATTATTCTTTACCTCCTCTGAGGAGGTACTGCTTCCAGATAATTGAGGCTCAGAGATATGATAGTACGTAGATTAGGTAAGGCGGGACTTCTGTATCACGTGCCACAAACGTCACTCCGGGTCTGAACCCAATCACAAGCAGCCGTTGGCTAGAGCTTTGGATAGGAGGTGGTCTTCCAATAATAACAGCTACCTTATGACACTGAATTGCTTTCTGCCTACTCCGTGCAGATACCTTTATCTAATACTTTGAATTTTACTTTGGGACGTAAGCCTCGCGCAACAGACCTTCATACTCTCTGCACAAGTACACTCCTTCGACCAACTGAGATCGAAATCATTCCGAGCCATATGTCGGACGAGGACAAGATGGTAGGCTGCCATGTGCCCTTTGTGACATGATAACAACTAACCTCTCCCAAGACCCCCAGCAAATCGGCAGCTGGCCCTAATAGTCCTAAACCGGAGTCGCCGACGACTGCGCGTCCCTTGGATTTCGATGATGAACCTCAAGAATCCGGTGTTACCACTGCCCCTCTCCAGCAAACTGGTACAGAAGCTGCCCCGCCAAAGCCACCCCGTCCAGTGAGCCCGCGGCAACAGGCAGAGAACACCCTCAAAGAAGCCTTTCCCACCATCGAAGCATCCGTCGTCAGGGCAGTTTTGGTGGCCAGCAACTGGGATGTCGAACGGGCTTTTCATGCTCTCCTTGGTATGTGAAGCTGAACCTGTGCCGGTCTTGCGGTCATTAACAAAATGGCTTTCTTAGGCATGACCGACCCCAACGCTCAGCAAGAAGAAATAGCGCCTCCAAAGCCTCCTCGTCCGTCTGCGACGCAGAGGCAATTGGAAGCGGATGAGTTGTATGCCCGTCAACTAGCCGAGCATTACAACCGTCGTGCACCACAAACCCGTTGGGATGAATCTCGACATGACCGGGCTAGAAGAGGAAGCGATCAGTCGGAGGAGCGGGACTACAGTTTTTTTGACGGTATGCGATGCTACGCGATATTATCAGCCTTGGCTTATTATTAACACACTTTGGCTTAGATGATCTTCCTGTAATCCGCGAGAACATTCGCAAGGGCTTCCTGGAGACTCAGTCCAAAGTGAACTCTTGGGTCCAGAATCTCAAAAAGCGAATTGACGGTGAAGACGTCGATGAGGGTCCATCTAGCCAGCGCTATGGTGAAGGCCAGGGTTACAGTCGACCAAGAAGGAGTGGCGATATGGGTCGCCGCAGCGGTGACCGCGAACGTTACGATGCTGACCCTCAGTTGTTGAGCGACGACTTCTCTGCGCTGGAACTGAGAGACTCTGAAGGTCTGCCCGGTCCCGTCAACCCTACTCTTTCTGCGGCCATTGCTAATTTTGCTGCAGCACCTCCACCCCAACCACCAAGGAGACCACTTGCCAACCCAAATTTGTACAAATCAGCTTCTCCCTCACCTGACAGACGTAAGGTATCTTTTCAGGAGGGTCCGCCATCCGAGATCGGCTATCTTTATGATACTTCCGACCCGGCCAAACGCACGTCCACGGGAGGCAAGTCGAGCAAATGGCAGCCGCTGGCCACAGTGGAGCCATCGCCTGTCGCAGAGAATGATCCGTTCAGCCTGGGAGACAGCGAAGATGAGAGAGATACTAAGGGCAAAGAGCAGAATAATGCTGACGAAGCTGATCGTATCAAGAAGGCTACAGCAGAGGCGATGGCCGGTGAGGTTGGTTCTACAAATGATGGCAAACACACACAGGCCGCTGGAAAGTCATAGTAAGCGACCAGCCCTTGACCACGTGTCTTTTGTCAGCAGTTATCAACTGTTGCGTCTCCTTGTTTGTCCTGTCTTCCTACCACCATTCTCTATTTGTCTTTATAGTCGATTCTATGATACCAGGGGTGCCATAACGCAGGCATGGGAAATCGAAGTATTTAAAGCTTACAACTCTGAGCAGCGATTTCAAAATACCAGTAGTTGTGGTTATATTTCGTAAAGGGTATCGTCCTGTCCCAACCCAGATGAAGAAACGTAAAGATTCGCACAAAATAGACAGAGAAGAAATCAGGAAAGCCAGGTCACCTTGACGCCACCAAGAACCATGATATGCCGGCTAGTTGAAGGCCGAGTGAAATAGCAAAATGTCTAGCTTGCAAACAGCGGAGCACTTAGAAGCAATTATTCAGGCATGGAGTGCTTATTCGCAAGACCGCGCGAGGTTGCCGCAGCTTCCTTCCTAAGATCAGTTATAACAGTCTACACCCAGTCAATGGCATAGCATTGTGTTAGTCCTAGCCCATCAATCACGACGAGGCGTGTCTTTCCAACAAAAAAAAGAGGATAGAAACTTACCGCCAGGGCGTCAGGATTGACTCCATTTTCGATGAGAGACACACAGAGGGAGAGCTCTGTTCGGTCCAGATTCGTGTTCTAGACCAGGTTCACGCCATGCGTCAGTTGACGTCTCAACTGCTGCCAGACATCTTGCCGAAAGAAGGCTACATAGCACAAAGCCATAATGGAGAATGGAGAGGTGAAAGCACATACCAGGAGGGTTGAGATTTCGTGAAGAATGTCGATGACTTCGCGGGCGGCCTGGCGCTTGTCCTCAGCTTGCGGGGGCATTTCCAGTGATTATGGATGCAACAGCCGATGTTTGACTTGTGCAGCTTTTGGGAATCCGATGGCCTTGACCTTGTATTGGAGAATGTAAACTAAGCCGTACCCAAGGTACCTTGTCTACCTGAGAGTACCTTAGTCGCCTACTACTGTTTATGAATTTACCTTATTGATCGTCCGGTGGGGTTCTGTGCAGTTGGTGATGGATGAACCTGATTGGCTACTTCAGCTATCTCCTATGAGCCTTTCGTCTGCCTCAGGCGTGAATTCCTTTTCTGGGCGAAAGTTCTTCAGTCGGAAGTCTGCTTGTTGCCAAAAGGTACCTTAAACTCTGAGCTTCCTTTTCTCCATTCTTCAGTGTGGTGTGTTTCGGGCTACCTCCTTCATGCCGAATTAGCTAGGGGAGTAGCATCCCTGAAACACTGTCGTCCCCTCGCCTTATTGTCTCTTACAGTCCTGAATGTAGATCGTCTGGGAGACTTTGCAGGATCGACGATGTCAGTCAATTTAACCATATCAGATATTCATGCTTTAGGCAAAGACCAGGCATTCGAGATCCTCGCACAAATTGCACGGATTGAGAAGAAGACTTTCCCGGCTAACGAGGCATTCGCCTTTGGAGAGGACCTTTGGAAGAAGAAGCCTAACACCAGGGTCTTGTATGCGGTCAGCACAGCTTCCGGTGTACCGCATCGTTTAGTCGCCTATGCTGTCTATGTTCGGCAGAAAGGAGTAGCTTTACTGCACAAAGTCTGTGTTGTAGAGGCATTTCGTCGGCAGGGCATCGGGATGCAGCTTATGAACTACATTCGGCAACGTCTACAGAAGGAAGGCTGCCAACACATTCAGTTATGGGTGGACAAGGCCAGGGAGCCCGCTCGATCATTGTACAATCGCAGTGGGTTTGAAGAACGGGAGGAGGTTGCCGACTACTACGCGCCAGGTCGTACTGGAATTCGGATGGTCCTTGACCTCGAACGCGATTGAGACCCTTTGGATTTCTCAGGCTCCAATTTCTGAACCCTTTGAGCCTGGCTTGACCGAAAGCTCTTCCCCTTGAGCTCCTTAAGATTCGAGATAGATGCGACAATGTCTTTTCTGTATCTCTCTTATTAGTTCCCCTGGGTACTCCAAGGGATAATCTCGAGACCGGGGTTCGCCTTTCCTCCTTCGCTCCTTGGCGGTAGTATCAATTCATGCCCCCTTGCAGGACCGCGCATAGCACAACGTGATTTTTAGTCCGTCGCGCGGAACGGAATTTGAACCAATTCTTCGCTCCCATACTTGAGTGACGTCAAAAATATTCAGGCATGGATTCCTTGAAAGGGTGGTCGTTTTCGCGCCGCTCCTTTGTCAGATGGCTGGTTCTTCGGCGGAATCACCCTGAAGAAGGGTGGGTAGCCTACGACGTCCTCTCATACTTGTCGCACTCGTTCGTGTCCTCGTCCGACACTCTTGTCCGTATCCAAGTGTCCGGTGTCTGGATGGTTTGACGGTTAACCCAAGCGAGCTTCCTCCTCTGTGGCCCCAGAACAGCATTTGAGGCTTCGACGAGCTATGGCACTCATCGCGTTGGTCGTCCTGGCACTGCTCGTCGCTGTCAACGCAAGTCTAGTTTCAAACTACCCGATAAACGCGCAATTACCGCCTGTGGCTCGAGTCTCACGGCCTTTCCACTTCGTCTTCTCACCGGGGACTTTCGGCGGTACAGAAGCGGGAACACAATATTCTCTGCAAAGTGCGCCTTCATGGCTACACTTAGACAGTTCAAGCCGGACCTTATCCGGTACTCCTACAAGTCTAGATACGGGACCGAACAAATTCAAACTCGTGGCCAACAATGGGCCAGACTCTGCAAGCATGGAAGTTACTCTGATCGTCACGGCAGAGAATGGGCCGACGCCTGGAAAGCCACTGCTGCCACAACTTGAAGCCATTGGTGCTACATCAGCACCATCAACCATCTTCGTGCACTCCGGGGATTCGTTTGTGATCTCGTTTGATCATGATACTTTCTCGAATACTCACACCTCGACCTTTTTTTATGGCACATCCCCGCAGAACACCCCTCTGCCATCGTGGGTTCGGTTTGATCCGTCTAATCTCGCGTTCTCCGGTACGACCCCCAACACTGGGCCTCAGACATTTACATTCAATCTTGTCGCCTCGGATGTCGCCGGCTTCAGTGCGGCCACGATGAGATTTGAGATGACCGTCAGTCCGCACATTTTGTCATTCAATCAGAGCACGCAGACTCTGTTCCTCACTAGAGGAAAGCAGTTCAATAGCAGTCACTTCCGCGACATTCTAACCCTAGACGGCAGACAACCAGGAAACGGTGAAGTGACTTCTACTGAGGCCCAGGGTCCGAGCTGGTTAACCTTCGACAGAGATACTATCTCCTTAAGTGGCACTCCCCCCGCCAATGCCATGAACGAGAATGTCACAATCTCCGTGAGGGACACGTATGGAGATATCACTCGAATGATCGTCACTCTGCAATATTCACAATTCTTCACAGAGGACATCAAAGAGTGCAACGCAGTGATTGGCGATGACTTCGTGCTGGTCTTTAACAACTCGATCTTGAAGAATGACTCAGTCCGACTCGAAGTGAATCTTGGTCAGCGACTGCCCTGGCTGCGGTACAACTCTGATAACAAGACTCTTTATGGACATGTCCCCTCGTATCTTGCACCGGGTAGCTTCCCCATCACGTTGACTGCTCGTGAGGGGACTGCAGAAGACAGCGAACAGTTTATTATCCGCGCTGTGCGAGGGGACCGACAAGACGGTAGCGTAGCTAAATCAGCAGACTCGAACAATGGCAGTGGTGCCCACGGAAAGAAAGCCGGCATCATTGCCATTGCGGTAGTGATTCCTATTGTTTTCGTGATGGTTCTCTTGGCACTCTTCTGCTGTTGGCGCCACAAGCGCAAGCCGAAAGCTGCAACGCAAGAAGAAGGGCAATTTCCGACTGAGAAAGATCCGAGACTAACTCCTTCGGATCTCCCTCCGTGCCGGCCATATGAAGCGGTCAAACCTGATGACCCTCCTGTCATCCTCAGGAGCCCGTCGCCATCCTCAAAGCCGCCAAAATTGGAGCTGAGACCTTTGTGGAGCGAAAAATCACTAGAAGACAGCAGGCAAGCGCACGATTCGGACGACAAGGAAAACTCTCTTTCACATTCGACGATCGAATGGGACTTTGCCCCCTTGACACGCCATAACCCGCAAGGAGATAAACAAGCAGAGGACATTCCTTCCCAGAATAAACGACTGTCATTCCAGAGCAGTCCCTCATTACATAGACGAACAACGGCCAATTCCACAAAACGAGAGCCCCTCAAATCTATACAGCCAAGAAGATCACTGAAAAGAAATTCGGCGGCCTCGTCTAGGTCCCGAAGGTACTCCAGGCGCTCGAGCGGCATTTCATCTGTAGCCTCGGGGCTACCGGTAAGGCTGAGCGGTGCAGGTCATGGAGCTGGAGGGCTCGGGCCTCCTGGACATGGAGTGGTTCGAGTATCATGGCAAAACACTCACGTTTCTCTGCAAAGCGATGAGAGCAGTGTTGGAAATCTTGCTCCCCTGTTCCCCCGGCCTCCCCCTCGTGGGAGAAACAGCGTGGAATTCAGGATCCTTGACCATCCAAGACAGCTCACGGTGCGGGCTGTGGAGCCAGAAAGTCCAACTATTTCAGAATCCGATTCACTGGAAGCCTTCGTTCATTACCGGGCGAAGAATAGAAACTCATCCAACCCCATGTTCTCAGCGCAATTCACACGCCGGACATCCTCTGGTCTCCGCGCTCTGGAGAGAGCTCGAAGTACGGCCAGTCGCGCGGACACAATGTCAAGTTCTATCTACAACGATGGTCGTCGACAGTCGTACATCCAGGACCGTCCGGGTTCGATGGCGATGTCAGCAATGTCTGCGTCCGTCTATACAGAGGACAACCGCAATTCGGCCTTCTTGCAGTCACTAGGTCTAGAAGCCTCGAGCGTCCGACCTATCGTTCCATTACCCAAAAAGCAAAGCCAATCGAGCCTAGCGCAGAATTATTCCAAGATCATCCCGCCACTTCCCCGGTTCTTCAGCGAAACAAGCCTGGGTAGCATTCGACGGTTGGAGCACGGAAACCTGGTCGATACCTCAGACGAGTCCCAGAACGTAAATGAAGATTCTTGTGGGAGTCAACGTCGATGGTACCGGGGCAATCCTTATTTGCAAGGAGATTTTAGCACCCATCGGTTTTCGCTACGGAGGAGTCCTTCAACCTCATCGGTTCCAGTCGACAGTACCGTACGCCGGGTGAGTCTGGTGCGGTTTGCTGGCATGGAGAACGGGGGCGACCAGACCATGAATTATGACCAACGATGGAGAAATCGTCAGTCTGTCAGCATTGAGCAACCTGGCGACAGTGTACAAAGGGATATTGTAAACAGTGTCAGGAGCGACGCTACTTTTGTGTGATCTTGTCCAGTCAAATAGAGCATTTATCATTTCACACTTCTTGTGGCTGTTTTATCATTTCATCGTCAAAGGTTTCAGTGTGATGGCTGTGCCTTTTGGGTTTTATTGTCATTACGGGGTGTATTATTGATTCCCAAGGTGGCTGTTCTGTTTAGATACATAGTGGCCGGCCACGGTCTTGAAGAACCTAGTGAATTTCTCTATTTACTTCATTTCTTAAGGTATTTCCGTCTCCTGTTTGGTTCATGCTTGAGAGACTGGCACCTAGATCATCATGGTGTCATCAATACAGCCATACTTGGTTAAACTAGTATCAACCCACCTGGAATCATGGAAGTCAAACCATTCTTCACTATGAAACTTGGAAGCTATCTATCTAGTGATAAAACAGATATGTAATAATGTAAGTGGTTAATAAATCCCTATTTAGTAGCTTTTATGCATATCAGGACGCGCCAGGTTTACACAGAGGTAATGCACACTTCTGATATTAAGGTAGGTAACTGTCGATAGATCATCCCATGTATGTATGTATGTATTAGTGCAGACACTTGACCACCTTCTGCTTAGAGACTGCTCTGGACACCAGGCATCAGCAAGGGTTTGTCATACACCATCAAATGTGCAATAATAATGGGACTAGGAGATATACTTCTCAAATAATAGTCGGGAAGGATCAAACCTTGTACATTAATCAGTTACTTCTGGTTCCTAGGTAAGCGGATTGCCGAATTCAGAATACCGGCAGTGTCAGCTCTGTGTTCCATTCCCTGGCGACCGGAACACGCGACTAGAAGACTTCGAATCGTTGGAAAAGATGATATTGCCAACCTGAAGTCGTTTATAGGGCAAGGTACTCCGTAGACTAGATAGAGATACCTACAAGGATTTTGTCACATATGCAAGGATCTCTATGATCGACAATATCGAGTCATTAATAGGCCTGTGTAGGTTCATTTATTACTTCCCTCAGACAGCATAAAGAAGATATCAATTATGATAATGTCTCAGGTACCTGTGATTAAGATACCTTGGTAGAGGTAGTGTTGAAAAATGACAATGGAAGCCTAAGGCAAAATCCAGGCCAGTACACCTCGTGACAGCGACCAATTCGAGATTCTTAGTCTGAAGAAGACGAAAAATAAAGCACATTTCTTTCTCTCACATCTCTGCTTTCTCTCTTCACTGTTCAAGTGTTTAGATGATAATATTTCATCACTATCGTCATTTTCATCATCACCATCATCATCATCGGTGGATCACTACCGCCACCTAGAGGTGATCCAGCTCCAGGTCTGTAGGTAGGTACCTAGGTAAAGGTAGGCAGTAAATACCACCGCTTACTGTACCTTACTGCCGTACTGGCTGCCCTTGCCCTCAGGCCAGTTCTTCGTGCTTTGTCTCTTCCGCCTTTTTCCTCCCCTCCTCCTCCTTCGTCCCCTCAAATCGATCAACGCCGAGCCCTTCCCAATCCCCTTTCAATTCTTCTCCTTCACTTTTGTGGATGCGTGACTTTTGGCCCGAGAAAAAAATTCTTCTCACCATCTTTGATATTCTCAAGATTTAACCGTTGACCTGCTATACAACATGGGTCAGACCTTATCTGAACCTGTGGTCGAGAAGGTAAGCAAATCATCTGTTCTTTCGTCGTGCTTTCGATCCCCCACATTGCTGTCTTCGTTACGCAATTTCAACCGCCCCTGTTCAAAGCCCGCGGCTCGCCTATACAGCACAATTCTGTGCGCAACACAGCGTCCATCCAGATTTTTGCTACAGTTACGGCTACTTGTATAATTTGATTGAACTTTTTTTCCGAGAATTTGACAATTGCGCTCTTTTCGTCTGAGGCCTTATGGTTGCCGCCTACTCGTGATGCCGACCTGTGGGGTGCTCACGCGAAAGACCGAGTTCTGCGGCGGGCACACTTCCGGACAATCAGCCACCATTGCTCATTCGAATATACCTCTCCGATCACTGCTAACATTTTTCATGCTTGTCCGTGAATAGACTTCCTCCGAAGGTCAAGATGAGTGTTGTTTGTATGGTTTGTCGGCCATGCAGGGCTGGCGAATCAGCATGGAGGACGCCCATGCTGCAGTCCTAGACCTTCAAGCCAAATCCACAGGAGGTTCCGAAAAGCCTACAGATCCCGATAAACGCCTCGCTTTTTTTGGTGTATATGACGGTCATGGTGGAGATAAAGTAGCGTTATTCGCGGGAGAAAACGTGCATAAGATCGTCGCAAAGCAAGAGGCCTTTGCGAAGGGCGATATTGAGCAGGCCTTGAAGGATGGCTTCCTGGCCACCGATCGGGCTATTTTGGAAGGTAAGTGAACGCCACTCTGGGCTTCTGGAATCCTACTTCTGTTCCCTTGTTCTTTTTGGCTTGGGGGTTCGACAAAACTGACCTGTCTAGACCCGAAGTATGAGGAGGAAGTCTCCGGTTGCACAGCTTCCGTCAGTGTTATTTCAAAGAACAAGATCTGGGTCGTATGTACCTTCAACCTACGCCTTACCGCTATCACATCGCAATCAGGAGAAAGGCTAATCGGGATGATAGGCAAACGCGGGCGATTCACGCTCAGTATTGGGTGTAAAGGGCCGCGCAAAGCCTCTCTCTTTCGACCACAAGCCACAGAATGAAGGTCCGTGTTTAGTCATCCAACCCTCCGAACTTTCGCACCTAATATACGAATATAGGCGAAAAAGCTCGTATCAGCGCTGCCGGTGGTTTCGTCGACTTTGGTCGAGTCAATGGTAATCTGGCCCTGTCTCGGGCCATTGGTGATTTCGAGTTCAAGAAGAGCCCCGAGCTCTCACCTGAACAGCAGATTGTCACAGCCTATCCCGATGTGACAGTTCACGAAGTGACTGACGATGATGAATTCCTTGTTATCGCCTGTGATGGTGCGTCTTCTATGATGCGGGCTTATCTGCAAATTGCACTGTCTTGTTTCACTTTGCTGATCGATGTTAATTGTAGGTATTTGGGACTGTCAGTCCTCCCAATCCGTGGTCGAGTTTGTTCGGAGAGGTATCGCTGCAAAACAGGACCTTTACCGTATCTGTGAGAACATGATGGACAACTGCCTTGCTTCTAACAGTGAGACCGGAGGTGTTGGATGCGACAACATGACCATGATCATCATTGGTCTTCTCAATGGCAAGACCAAGGAAGAATGGTACAATCAGATTTCTGAGCGGGTAGCTAACGGCGACGGCCCATGCGCGCCGCCTGAATACGGCAAGTGTCTCGAGGATCCCATGGTCGCCGATGGCTACTGACTGAGAGATGGTGTTTATAGCTGAATTCCGTGGACCTGGTATCCGCAATCAATTCGAAGAGACCCCCGATAATTATGATCTTGAAAACGACCGCTCCCGCGGCTTCAGTGTCCGTTCCGGCCGTATCATTCTCCTAGGTGACGGCACTGAACTAATTCCCGAGCAGAATGACGAGGAACTTTTTGACCAAAGGGAGGAAAATCGAGATGTTACAAATCATTTGCAACACGAGTCGCCCGATTCGTCGGCTCGAGGAGATCGTGAAGGTACCCCGGGACCCCAGTCGAAGAACGAGACCGCGAGTAAGGGTGAGGGGTCCTCGACTGCCGCCAACCTGTCCGAATCACCCTCGAGCACCAACAAGGACTCTTCTGGCAGCGGGACTGAAGCCACGGAGAAGTCTGCCTCCTCGTAGTGACGATGATTCATTTGCGTGTTCTTCCTCCCCGATCTGGTTTTGCGAATACATCCTGTGCGTGACTGAACGGCCCGCCCCTATCCTCCACTCTCAACCTTTTCCGTTTCCTCGACCCTCGCAATGTCTTTTGATATGACCTTCAAAGTCTATGTCTTCCGTCACTAGCGACGCCCTGTGACTGTGGATGAGGCGAAATTCAGTGGGATGCTCCTCTAGCCCTGGGTAGACTTCTTTATGTCGAGTCGGAGGGATTCTTTGGGGGCCTTTTCTGAGTGATAAGACGTTTCCTCTTCTATTCTGCTATGTTCTGTTTTTCCGAGCCGCAAGCGCCAGACCTCACGAGAGTACGTTTATTTTATGCTTTGATCCAACGCAAGATACCGCACAAAACACCCACCGATGATGAATCTTGATATCTCTATGAATTCGGTTCTTACCTTTCCCAACCCATTGCTCTTACGTCACGCTTTATCTTTATTCTTTTCCCTCTACCATTCTCTTCCCCTCATATTGTGATCACTGCTGGTGTATCTCCTCATCATCGCGCGCTCCGGCTCTGGACTTGGAGGGTTGCCCTGTGGGCCAGGAAAGCGCTCGATCAAGAAGAATTTTTCAACAAGTCATCGGCGTTGTAAATCGGCTGGTGGAGGAAGGGAAACAGGACAGTACGGGTCTTTCTTCACATCTCACGGCGTATCTGGAATGTCCATCTACAGCATCAAGATCATTCTCGTCTGCGACGGGCGGCACTGCTTTCCAATGCTTCAGCAGTGGGGTTCAGCGAAATATGACGCATTCCAGTAGGCTATATTTTCTTTTTTTGGATCTCTTCCGATATCGTACACATGAGCGGCCCGCTAGAAGTAATATGCGAACAGCTGCGATCACCGATAGACTGGCAGAACCAAATAGAAGCTACTAGTAGTTCGAGGCAGAAAAAAGACAACTTAGTATCACTATCAGAGTCTTGTCAGATTCATGAATTGTAAAATTACACACCACGGCGACAAGGTAGGTACCTTAGCTGTGCAGTGAAATGGTTGCATGAATTGCATTAATCAGAGAATGTCCATATGTTGCATGACATTTTCATACAACACTTATCTAAATGCTTTCGATAGCGCCTGGTACCCAGTTCATACCAACAAAAGTACCTTTTCAGTATCAACAGGGTATCTGACCTTACCGTACCGTACTTTACTCCGTTAGGTAAGTGGAGTCTGATGTAATCGCTGTACTCCGTTTGTTGATAGAGCAGTCTACTAGGTATACCCTACGTAAGGTAACTGTTTTATCAGAAGGGTGCAAGAAAATTCTTGTCCATTTCATATGACAATTCTCCGTCGGATATTCCTCTTCCTCTCTATAGAATCACCGATTCTACCCACGAGGATCCAAAAAAGGGATCTGAGACCTGGCCCCATTACTACTGGACTAGGTAGCTTCCTACCGGGACTGTCTCCCGCTAGCCTGATCAACCGGTTAAGTCTAGTCTACTCCGTATGCTCGTTCTTCCGCCTTCGGTCTGTCTCAGGGTCTCTCCCTCTCTCCTTTTAATTATTATTATTATTATTAGACTAACTGACAAGACTACCTTAGCTCTCAGCACTTTCCCTGACCCCGTTTCCTCTCCTCGATTTTTTTCCTTTGCAATCTCCTTCTGTTCGTTGGTTGTCCAACCTTGGAAATCTCTCATGATTTTTCCCAACTAGATACCCTACTATCTTTCAACACACCGACAGAAGTAGAGCAGTGCTCCTCGGTCAGCCAACATGTCGTCTCCGTCGTCCACTGCGGCCAAACGCAAGCGCGGTGCTTTTCAACATTTACCGGCCGACATTGCCAAATCATCCACAGCCGATCTCCTCCAACCATCGTCTCGTGACGCGTCCGGTGAGGAAGGAGACGACTCCGCAGATCCTATCACCCCGACAGCAAGCAAAAACAGGAAACATACTTCAATTGATGTGACCTCGGCCGGGGGTCCCATCCCGCCTTCGAAACGGGCTCGGAAATCGTCCTCTGGCGAGGCTCAGGCCCCCGCGCCCAACGGAACCACAGAATACGCATCAGCCATCCATCAGGAAGATCCCGGCGAGCCATCTGAGACCACTGTAGCTAGTAGTGACATCGAGCATGGGGCGATGGGTCGACCGGGGTTGCACATCAAGACCGCCGGTCCCGATGCAGAAACAAGACCGCATCTGATGAAACCCCCCGAGAGAGCTGGGCTGCAGCATCCCGTTGGGTACCACACCAATCCACCTCCGACGGGGCGACCGGTTCGCGTCTATGCGGATGGTGTTTTCGATTTGTTTCACGTGGGGTATGTCTACACTTTTATTATCTGCAGTAATGGGACTTGATGCTCATTGCTGGTGGTTTTTTGACAGACACATGCGACAGCTGGAACAAGCAAAAAAGGCTTTCCCCGATGTGTATCTCATTGTCGGTGTGACCGGAGACGAAGAGACTCACAAGCGCAAGGGTCTTACCGTGCTCAGCGGTCGGGAGCGTGCAGAGAGCGTCCGTCATTGCAAATGGGTGGACGAGGTGATTCCTGACTGTCCCTGGATCGTGACTCCGGAGTTCATTGAGGAGCATCAGATCGATTATGTTGCTCACGATGACCTGCCTTATGGGGCTGCGGAAGGAGACGACATTTATGCACCGATCAAAGCTCAGGGCAAGTTCCTGGTTACGCAGAGAACTGAGGGTGTCAGCACAACGGGCATTATCACCAGGTTTGTCTTTCCCTTCAAAGGGACTCTCCGTTTGGCCGACGTGGCTGCTGACCATTTTGTTTCATCCAGAATTGTCCGCGACTACGACCAGTACATTGCCCGTCAATTCAAGCGAGGTGCCTCGAGACAGGAGTTGAACGTGTCATGGGTCAAGAAGAATGAATTGGAGATCAAGCGACATGTCATGGAGCTTCGGGACAACATTCGCAACAATTGGACAGCCACTGGCCAGGAACTGAGCCGAGAATTGCGACAGTTATGGCAAAACAGCCGGCCTGGCAGTCCTGCCCCGAGCGCCCGTAACAGCATGGACCTGGGAAGCGTGCGTGGTGGTAATGGTGGGCTGACCAGTCCTACCGGCGGCCAGAAATCACATGTGTCGCGACTAGAAGCATTGGGTCGTCCTGACAGTCCAGGTGGAGGAAACGGGAGAAACGAAGATTTTGCGACGGGCTACAGTTTGGGCTTGATCGGCGGTGTGCGAGCATGGGTTTGTGATTGCCTTTCCTGCCAAGATGATTGGATCGAATGTTGACCATATTTGCAGATGATGCGCAGCCGACGATCGCTCATGGAGAGCCGGCCTCACTCGCCCACGAGCGAGGACGATCCCGGGCCCGAGTTGGAAGCGACCAACGGCCATACTGGTGATGAGAGATCTCTGCACGCAGCATCGTAACCTGTTACAATCAAGGGATTATTTTTCCTTGGACATGATTCTGTCTTTGTGTCCCTGGCTACGGCGCGGTGTCTTGACCTGAGTATAATGTAATATTGACATTGAGCTCATAGTCTGGGACGAAAACGAATGACAAAAAAAGTCAGAAGAGAAATAAAAAGATCAAATTTGATTTCTTTCCTTCTTTTTATACCTCCTTCACTCTAAAGGCCTGTCACTGGAAGAAAGGCAGAAGAAAAATGAAAGAAAAAGCATCAGACCCCTCATTATACTCGGACGATCATCTCTTCCTTGTTCATTCTCACCGATATTGGATCCGTCGTGATAATACTTTGTTTGAGACAGACGACAATTGACTGCCTGGTTTTGACTCTGGAACGGACTTGGACGCATTTGCTTGGATGGAATAAATCGATATGGAATTGACTGGGTTAACGTTGGATAAGCTGGAACATTTGGGGATTTTGGGTATTGATTCATTCGTTTGTCTGTTTTGTTTATTGTATAATTGTATAGGTTTCTACTTTCTAGTATCTATAATAGATTCTGTAGATAGGTAAAAACTGATTGCTTGTTCGCAATGTGCCGCGTGCAATACGACGCATCGATCCGGAACAGAATCTAAGCACATTTTTCTATCGCTAAACACCCAACACAGAATACAGGTCAAAACAATCAAAGAATCGCCAGGGGTATATATATCATCAGGGTATCATGAACAGTCAGTATAGGGGCGCGTATGTGATTGAACTCCATCCAGGGATATCCAACCCAACTATAGGCTCTTGTGAAATGCACGACAGGCGCACAATCTACTTAGCAGTAATAGCGAGACGAGGCCTGCTTCGATGCCGTCGGTCAGGCTGCGCTTGCTCATCCCTGTCCTCCACGGAACCAGGACAGCTTCGCCAGGCGCCGAGCACATGACCGCACGGAGATGGTCTCTCAGCGTCACCGCGTCCCGACGCAGGTTCTCCTCCAGGAGACTCTGCGCGACAGGGTCAGCGTCACACCGCGCGGTGATGCCCAGCTCGAACACGCGCAGGCCCCACACAGACAGCAGCGGCGCAACCCACGGCTCCCTTACGTCCAGCCGCAGGCGTTGCCCACCGAGCAGCCCGGCGGCGGTGGTGGCCCAGGTGAAGCGGCCGAGGTCAATGCTGAGATGGAGCTCCTCGAGACCGCGGCAGGCGGCGACGCGGGACCAGAAGAGGGCCCAGAGGCGGTCGTTGTGAGTGTGCGCGTAGATGGAGGCCCTGTGCTCCTGGCCGGCCATGGGCTGCCAGACGGGCGTCCACTGGATGGTGAGGCGGCGGATGGCGCTCAGGCGATCCGGGTCGATGGTCAGGGAGAAGGCGACGAAGGTGTGCAGGTCGTCGACGTCGAAGACCGGGATGGCGTAGGGGAGGTCGGCGGCTTCGGCGTAGACGGCGCGGCAGGCGCGCAGAAGGGCGAGCGAGCCGTTGCTCAGCGTGCTGGGGAGGGCGGGGTGGGTGTGCGGGTAGAGCATGCTGTCGGAATGGCCGTCGTGGGTTGCTGCTCCCGCTCGCCAGCGAGCCGGGGTGACCGGGCAG